TCACCGCGGGATATGGAAAAAAATTTTGGCATCACAGAATGACATTGTTCCATTCCAAATTCTAAATGACTGGAAGAACTGAATCAGAGAAACCCTGAGGAAAATTGAAAATATAATTGAGAGCCATGCACTTGAACCTTGAAAACACAAATCTCTCAGAGTGGAATAATGTAAAAATTTCAAAATCCTGTCCTTATTTCCTCAGAAACGATGCATTAAAAAGCCTCCATAAGTCTGACGCTTTCCTCCTCCAATTTCCATGACTAACAACTATTTCGTCGGCATTTATTTGGATATTTTTTTATCGCGAGAATAAGGAATGTCAAAGCAATGAAAGGTATGAGGACTCCTGGGTCACAACTTCAGCGTCCAGTCAATTCATTCGACGAGCTAATCAAGAACCAGGATGCAAACAATTTTGTTTCTCCAAACAAGAAAATTATATTTTCCTCAATTTATAATTATTTTGCACCTAGGTTTAATTTCAACTCAACAGGTTCGATTGTGCTCGCACATAAGAAAGTAAGGATATTAACAGTTGATGAATCAGGGCAATTCGAAATGCATTCCATCGATAAATTGCAACGTTTCAATGTCAAATCCTACATTTGTTTACGTCCGCAGCAATAATATACGTTAGAACTTCCACTCATGAAAGGTTTTGCAACGACACTGGAACATATATTTGTCAAAACGAGACATACATCGCGGGACGGGAAATCCGAGTTTAATTCTGGCACATTTTTAAAAGCAATGGGTAGACGGGTAGAGGTTCCATAAATCTAGAATAAAGGTTTGGAAACACTTGGAAAAAATGAAGCTGTGGTTGAGTAACGGACTGACTGATGCGTTACGCGAGTGGAAGTGACCAGGCGACCAAACTACAGTACAGTACCATGTTTCACAGCAGGCCCCGCCCACGACTCCGCCCAGGTCTCCTTCAGAGGTCCAATCAGACAGCGAGACCTTCCCTGCGACGTGTCCTCGATGCTGCAGGAATCTCTCAGGGTCCGGATGGATTAAAATTGCGGGATTCCTCACAAGATCAAAGCATTACCAAAGCCTTGTTTTCGTCTCTGGGGAAGAAGATGATGTCCATTGTGTTGCGTTACACGAGAATTGCGACCCATTTCTCTTTTTGTTTTTTTTTTTTTTTGCGGCATCATGGTTTTAGAAGTAAATTTTGCTCAAGGTTTTCCATTCAAGGGTGGAAAATGATTCGCTGCCTGATATAATTCTGTTGAAGGAAAACATGTTTTTCTCTATTTTCAAATGAATTTGAATATCGGTTGCTCAACTATAGTCACTTTTACATCCCATTGAAATTTCATTTGAGATATGAAGGTCTTTTCAGCAGTGGAGGAAACTGTGTCTGACATACAGTGAGACCCCAAGATGTGGACATAATTGGTACATCAAGAGTGTCCCCAGGTTGAAATGTCCCTAAGTCAAGTCATGCTTTCCCATATACTCACATTATATAATTTTTAGTTGGTGTTTTGTGGAAGAAATATTCTTCAGAATTCCCTGAAAATAATTGTTTGTCACTTGAATTTGAATTGGTGAAAACATTTAATACATTTTCAACTCAATAAGAGCAATTGGAGCATTGAATAGTGTATCTCTGTACTGTACACTGAAATTTTGCACCTACAAAAATAACATTCAAGTGAAAAAGTATATGTACTTCTATGCTGGAGGTAATTTTTTAAATTAGTTATATGGATGGTAATTTGGTGAGAGAAATGCCCAAGAACTTTTCTTACATTAATTTTAGGGTTGGAAATATCTGTTTCTTGCAATTTGGCCTGAAATGTATTTGCAATTTTGTCACAAAATGTCCCTATGTTGAGTCAGTGTCCTCATGTTGGGCCTTGTTTATTGATTTTCTCTGGGAAAATAAGTGTTCTTATGTCAAATTGTCTGCAGGTCCAGGCATCTGCATGTGGGGGTCTCACTGTAATTCTTGTGGAGGTAGAAAAAGTTTTTATCCAATTCCTATTTTTTTATGCAAATGTGAAAATTGGCCTGAATTTTTTTCCTACCTGTTTTCATTATACACAAGCATTTGAAATTTTTGCAAGGTCTTATCATCATCGTAAACTGCGCCTGTTGACAATCTTCCTGCTGAAGTAACTTCTCTCCAATTTTCAAATGCATTTTTTGTAAATTTTCAAGACTGTGCATGAATGCGTTGGTAGCCAAGTTGAAGACCCACCCCCCCCCCCCCCTTCCGAAAGCTCCCACCCACTAACGTTTTTTTTTCAATATAGATGGGAGTCTCATAACCCGTCATTTTTGAATAAATATTTATGAGAGTTTCATAAACCCAAATAAAAAGAATAAATTTACTCCCTGAACTTTTGTACAAATGTGGGCTTTTGGGCTATACAATCGAATGCCTTTGGAGAAATGTGCAGAATTTAATCAGGGTTTAATATGTAATATATTTCTCTCACAACGATGCAAGTGTTTGGGGGTGTGCCAAGTTTCTATGATGTCATTCCTAAAAATCAAAATTTCTGTAAGACAATCTTAAATCAAATATGGAAAGGAAATGAGCAACAAGTTATTGGATACATGCAATCTTAAATGGAAATTCTGCCTTCTGCAGTCTCCTTAATGGATCCAGGAGAAAATGCAGTTGGTCCAAAAATCTTGCAAGGGAACTCCAAGATGAAATCCCATGGCCCAAAAATCCCATGGAAGAAAATGCAATGCTCCAAATTTTCTTATTGAGGTAAAAATGTATTCACTAATTCAAATTCAAGTGGCAAACAATTTTTTCAGGGAATTCTGAGGAATATTTTTCCCATGAAACACCAACCAAAAATTATATAATGTAAGTCCAGGGGAAAACAAGACTTGATATAAGGACAAATCAACTTAGGGACACTTTTGGTGCACCAATTATGTCTGCATCTTGGGGTCTCATTGTATCTGCATTTAGACTTCTTTGATAATTTTTTATTGCTTAAATTCCATTGCCTTCTGTAGTTTTTAGACAAGGTTTTCCTGATATGAAAATTCATTTTTTGGGATTTTTGCACATACAGGATTTTTGGACCTTGCGAGATTTTTTGAGCCAAAGGGATTTTTGGCCGCAAGGGATTTTTGGGCCGCAGGATTTTTTCTCCACAGGATTTTCTCCTGCACCTGTGAATGATTGTCTTTCAATTATTCACATTAGCACAGCGAGAAATTGGGAAAGAGTCACTATCCCCGCGCGACAAAAGCTGGGACACAGAAACCCTGGCCAACAAAAGCCCTGGTACAAAATCCCCGCCATACCCGGGCACAGCAGTAACAAAAGCGCTGAACTTTTTTCCCACGCATTTTTTTCTTCATAGAAGATCTTGTGGACCTGTGGAGGTCCACAAGATCACCCAGATTTTTACACCAAAATATAAAACTATTTGTTCACTCAGCAGTAAAAATTTTTCTGAACCGATTTTCAATGGAAATCTATAGCAACAAAACAGTACATTTATTTGAACTACAGTGTTTCAACATTAGTATTGTTTTCAGTTGAATTTGGTCTCAACAAATCAGCATATCTCACTTTCCAATTCACAAACTCTGTGGAATGATGATTCTTAAAATGAAATCTTTCATGTCAAAACAAAATAGTTATAATACAATGTTATTATGAAAACTATGCCAGCAAGCACAATAAACCTTTTCACACTGATCAACACAATAAGCAAAGAGTATTTAGAAGTTTCCTGGAAATAGACCTGTTCTCACTTTAAGAGGCAGAGTTCAAGTGTGTTGAGTGGTAGAAAAGTGCACAGCTTACATAGCATTTGGCATTGCTTTGCAATTTGACTGTTTTTCTATCCAACGCTAGTCCAGCAATGGATTATGGGGCACCACAAGTATATAATAAACTTTCCAATTTCAGTATGAAAACTTTTTCAGAAATATTTCATAGATTCTCCAGATAGGGTATTCATTTCCTGACTAAATCAGGCACAGTCTGGAATTTCCAATCCTAAATTTGACTCACTGATTCTTGTGGCATGGATGGAAGCTTTAATCAATGAAAACCATGCTTCCAAGTGGTTCCACACCTGATCTGCAAAGAATTAAGGTATTGGTGCATTGATGGAATACTTGATAGGGCTATTTTTTTTAGAATATGTCTTATTTTTTCGAAGAGCATTAATAAAAAATCTGAGAATCCTTGAGGAGCAAGATATCTTATTGATTATATGCCAGTCTGATGTGAAGATTGTGTAAAGATATCTAATTGATTTTATGCAGGTCATCTGATGTGAAAATATTTTCGAGTCATTCATTTTGTAAATCTCGCACATTAACAGTATGTATTCGCATAAAGCTGCAACTCGAAAAAATTGGCGAGAATAAAGACATAAGAAAGTAATATGCCATCAATTCCTGGAAATATCGCGCAGGTTTAGCATTCCTTCCAGGAAGCATTATTTTTACATAACTTTGTGCGGGATGTGATTTATCAATCTTCTGAAACTAAAAAATCCACGTGACCCATCGTAATTGTTGATTGATTTCCTCCAGACAATCGAGAAATTGTATTTGAGCAACAAAGATTAATTGCTCGGTGTTGGTGCGTTCAAAAAATCCGTTGCATAACAATAATTTTTTTTTTGGAGTATCGTTGCACCAGTGCTCAAATACACACACACATGGCAGTCCTGAGCTTACCAGAGTATCCTGTTGCTCAATGTTCTTCTAAATGAGTGAGTGTGAAAATTTTGAAGAAATAAGTAATACGGAAAAAGAACTAAAGTTTGGGGCTTTCATTACAGCTGTGCGCGGGTACGGCGGGGATTTCGTGTCCCGGGCACCCCGTTACAAACCCCGAAAAATTAAATCAAACAAGAAAACTCAAAACAGGAAAAAACTAGAAATCCAGCCAAACGAAAAAAAATAGGCCCAACCAAGTGAGGATTTATTTTCAATTTTTTGATCTTCCGCCTTGATGAGAATTTGATCAATGTATTTTTTTTGAGTGAAATTAATGATAATTGCGACCCATTTCGTCGTCAGCTTGCCTTGAGGTCAGGTCTGCAGTTTTACCGACTCCACCTCGGTAAATTCGCTGCAAAACTTACTCCTAATGAACACCTTCACAAGCATCAAAACACACACACATCCTTTCCTCCACTTCCATTATTCTCCTTAACTTCTTCTCAATCCATGTCGTTCGCATATATACTGTACATGATGATGGTTCTCTTCAGCATTTCGTAAGATACTTTCAGACGCTGGCATCATCCGCAGAAAAAAAAAAAAAAAAAAGAAAGGTCTCCTCGTCGACGAGTCACTGTACTATTGTGTCAAGAATTATTGCACAGTAGATTGTCAGTGAAATTAGCGGGGAAATGGACGGTAATAGTGACACTGCGTTCTTGGAAGGCGGGGCTAATGATGATTCGGGCTGTCGGTCGTCTTCGCGGTCAGAAAAGCCGGGTTACGGCCTCTGTCGAATTTGCCACGGGAATGACGCTGTTCACAAGCTGATTGCGCCGTGTTTCTGCAAGGGTACAGTGTGCATTCCCTTTTTTATTTTTGCTGTGAAATTCCTCCGAAAACAAACAATGGGTGCACGAGAAAATCCCATGGGAGAAAAAATAACGCGTAGCCCAAAAATACCGTGTGGCCAAAAATCTCGCAGGGCCGTACAAGAATCCCAGGACCTAAATTTTTATATACATTATCAGAAAAAACCTTATTTGATAACAACATAAGTCAATGGTATATGAACAATTTCTAAAGTATTGAAAAAAGTCTAAATGAAACCTGATAGTGATACTTAATGTTTTCAAATTTCAATCTTAATATTCGAAATACAATACAGTTGAACCTCTTGAAGTCAAATTTCTAAAGACCAGGAAACAAACTTGACTTTGTGAGGAGGTTTTGATTTTTTGAGGAAATGAAGCAAATATTTTTGCTGGAAGGAAAATGGGAAATTGTAGATGACGATATTCTGGGCCAAAACTTGCTTCTTATATTGAGTTTACAGCTTGCTGAACTTGTACGCATGGGTTCATTTGTTCAATTAGTCCTTCAGCACTTGATTTAAAAATGAATAAAATAATTTATTCTGTTGGTTTTCTCGATCAGATTTCAAGGAAATAATGACCAAAAGGTCTCAGAAAATTTGACTTGCGGAGGTTTGAGAGAAAACTACTTTGAGTTAGGAATACATTGTTTCCATGAGAATCCAGACAGGGACTTTAAAAAAAATTTGGGTTAAAAAGGTATTTGACTTGGGGAGGTTCAACTTATAGTGAGGTTCAGTTGTACATGATATAGCATAAAGAAGCATTTATAAAAATGTAAAAGAGTTTCAACTCAAGATTTAATCCCACTTGATGCAACTTTTCCACTGTGGAAGGCAAAGTTGAATGGTGAAAATCTCTGTAAAAGTACACAGTTCATATCCAAAACAAATGCAGGGATGAAATCTCCAAATGAAGGCAACAGCTTTCTCTCACCTTTCTCTCAGAAAAGGTGAATAAGTCAAGGTGAGGTTCTAGTTAGAAAATTTAATTTGTAAACCTTATTCCAAACGCTTGGAAGGAATTAAAACCCTCACAATTTCATAATCCACCAGGTTTTCATTCCTTTCAGACAGTTGGAAGGAAAACCAAGAGACAATGTCACAGTATTAAGGATTTTTGGGCCGCAGGAATTTTTCTTTAATCATATTCCATCACGTATCCTTCAGGAAAGTTTAATGGGATTCAGCATGGGTTACGTAATTTGGGAAACATGGCCTACTCGGTTTCTTTCAGTATTTTTCATCCTTTATTAAAAAATAGATAAAAATAAAAGAACTTGTATTTGCAAGCTTGTCCCGAGTTTCTCATCCGCAGCAGGATACTGTACTTAATAGTTATTGAACCGTCTCAATTCTCGGTCAATGAATGAATGAATGAATGAATGAATGAATGCACGCACGTACCAAACACCACCACCAGGCAGTTTGCTCCACGTGCACCAAGGCTGCCTGGAGCACTGGCTGGAGGCGACCTCTTCCGAGAAGTGCGAGTTGTGCGGGTACCAGTACATCACCAACAAGCGCCCCATGCGGTTCCGCGAGTGGATCCGGTTGTCGCGGGGCCTGGAGAGACGTCGCCTGGTGGCCGACTTGTGCTGCACCCTCACCATGACGCCCATGGCCCTCACCAGCGTGGCCCTCTTGCTCAACTCCAGCCTCCACTTTGGCCCGCCCGTGGGGCCCAGGTCCATGATCTACTACCTCCTCATTGCACTGGCCATGCTCATATCCGTGGTCTATGTGTACTGGCTGCTAAACACACTCAAGTGAGCATGTCTCCCTCCATTTTATTTATTTTTCTCTTCTGCAGTATTTTTCATTCAAAGTTTCATCAGACAATGTACCACAATTGAATCAATGGGCAACCATACAATTGAAACAAAAATGATCAAATGTCTCACATTATTCACAGGTGGACAACAAAATCCAAGGGGCCAGAACATTACTTTCTTGTAGAGAGAATATTCCTGTGTAAAAAACTAATACAATAGGGGTAGGGGAACCCTATCAGACAAAACAGATATTCTTTATACAGTAGCATATCACTGCAACAAACACCCAGGGACCATAAAAAAATGTGAAGTAATTAAACATTTGTTGGACTGTATTGAGATTCTTGGATTCAGTAACAGAAAAAGTACAGTTGTTGTTTTATTTATCTGAAGTAAGCTGTAGTCTCTTTTTTTTCTCTGCCATATCTGTGAAAATAAATGTGTTATAGAAAAAGGCCAAATCTGATGATGGAAATGAAAACTAAGGAAAAATCTACGCAGAAGAGCATTAGAAAAGTGGAGATTTTCCCTGATTATGGTGGCTGTTTGATTTCTGAGCTCCAAGTTGGCACTCTGCTTTGAGATTCTTGAGAAATTGGATGATAAATTCATCAGGATACTTTTATTTTAGGGGCTTCCTGCCAGTCAGCTGAATGTAATCAATCTTTAGCTTTCCCTTTTTCCAGTTTGGAACTCTACTAAGCCAGATACATTTCCTGGCCACCATCTAAAGATGATGCGCAACAGGAAATTGGTACAGTGAGACCCCAAGATGCAGAGGTAATTGGTGTATCGAGAGTGTCCCTAAGTCAAAATGTTCCTAGTATCATTTTCCTGTAGACTTTCATTGTATAATTTTTAATTGGGGTTTTTTGTACAAAATACTCACAATAATTCCATGAAAATCATAATTGTCTCACATTTCAAACTGATTCCAATCAATACATTTCAGCACAATATGGGCCTTTGGGAATTGAATACTGTTACCTCTGTAATCTGTATACAGTACATAGAAATGTTGGCATTCTCCGTAAAAATAATATTCGAGTGAAAAAGAGAGAAGGAAGTCCCTCTCTGCTGGAGGTACTTTTTTAATTAGCTAAGTGGATGATAAATTTGTGAGAGAAATGCCTAAGAACTATTCTTACACCAATGTTGGGGTTGGAAATATCTGTTTCTTGTAATTTGGCCTGAAATGTATTTGCAATTTTATCACAAAATGTCCATATGTCAAGTCAGTGTCCGNAGAGAGAGAGAGAGAGAGAGAGAGAGAGAGAGAGAGAGAGAGAGAGTGGGTGAAAAAGAAAGAGAGTCCAGCTGTATATACTGTATATCTGGTTCATTTTGTTGCAGGACCCACCTCCTGGCCTACCGGCTCTGGCGCATGTCCCATTTCCACGTGAAACTCGTCCTGCCTGCCTGCAACCTGGACAGGTCTCACACTCTTCCTGCACCCGGGTCTCATCTGCACCAGCAGAACAATATCAACCTGATGGCTGCTTCAAACCCGGGCTCTTGCTTCGGCGACACCCTCGGCGTGCATTGCGACGAGCACAGCAGTCTGTATTGCAGGAGTCCGGAAAGTGACGTTTTCGTGTCCACCTGGAGTCCCCCGAGTCCAATGAATGGGACTTCCGAGTCCTCGGCCACCAGCTTGCCTTCTTCCATCGCAGTGAAGCAGGTTATGATGACTGCTAATAATACTACCACCATTACTACTACTACTGCTGCTGCTGCTGCTACTTGTGGAGGTGGTGGTGGTGGTACTCATCTGAAGGATAGTGATCAACGAGTCATGATTCTGGGTTTGAATAATGCTGTGAGTACTGTATATATACAGTGGCCCACAGCCTAATAACAGACCTCCCTCTGGATTAGGGATTAGGGATTTTTGTCAAACAGACCAGTTTTGCAGGCAGTTTTTCCTCCTGCCCAACAGACAAAATCTGCCAAACATACTTCTTTTGGTTTAAAATTAGTGCTGTTGATTGAAATTTTTAATTTTTATATCATTGAATTTGTCTACTTTGGAGGACTTTTTGTCCAACAACATGTCCAGTGCACAAATTAAGTCCATTGGTTATATCCAATGGACTTAACTTGTTGACTGCGTACATAGTAGACAGTCAACCCTGTGCCCAACAAACTTAATTTGTGCCACAGACTACTCTGTTGTGTGAAAAGTCTGTTATGTAAATTCAGTTTTTACAAAATTAGAATTCATACTTTTTACCATACATTTTAAAACAACAGAAGTCTGTTGTGCAAAAATCCATTGTGCAGGAGGTATATTATTACAGCAGTCTGTATTGCAGGAGTCCGGAAAGTGACGTTTTCGTGTCCACCTGGAGTCCCCCGAGTCCAATGAATGGGACTTCCGAGTCCTCGGCCACCAGCTTGCCTTCTTCCATCGCAGTGAAGCAAGTTATGATGACTGCTAATAATACTACCACTACTACTATTACTACTGCTGCTGCTACTTGTGGTGGTGGTGGTGGTGGTACTCATACTCATCTGAAGGATAGTGAACAAGAAGTCATGATTCTGGGTTTGAATAATGCTGTGAGTACTGTATATATACAGTGGCCCACAGCCTAATAACAGACCTCCCTCTGGATTAGGGATTTTTGTCGAACAGACCAGCTCTGTGCAGACAGTTTTTCCTCCTGCCCAACAGACAAAATCTGCCAAGCATACTTCTTTTGGTTTAAAATTAGTGTTGATGACTGAAATTTTTAATTGTTTATATCAATGAATTTGTCTACTCTAAAGGACTTTCTGTCCAACAGACTTGTCTGTTGTACAAAGTAAGTCCATTGGATATATCCAAAGGACTTAATTTTTTTTGACTGTACATATGGTATACAGTCAACCCTGTGCCCAACAAACTCAATTTGTGCCACAGACTAGAGACAACACACTTTTCAGACAATACATTTAAGTCAAAAATGTTTTAATCTTAAGTATGAAAAATGGTATGTAAAATTTTGTTGTCTTCAGACAACACGTTTTTAGGTAACACGTCCTCCATATAATATTGGGGGTTTACTGAATTGAAAAATTGGAAAACCTTTCAAAATCTCTCTACTGTATTGTTCCAAGTAGACAGATGTAAAGGCAATTGATGATTGCACCTTGTCTCCTATATTTCTGAATGTCTGCATTCCTGATATTTTTTTATATATTTTCAATGGGAATATATTATAAATGGTTCTCCAGCAGAAAATCAATTATTAAAGAATCCACCCAAAAATGGACTGCGATTCTTTTTCTCAATTTTCAGAGACAGAAAATAAATGTACAGAAGAAAGCAAAACAGAATCTTATCTAATAGCATTTTAGGCCCTCAAGAAACAAAGAACATGTCTTTCTATACGTATAGAAAGACATGTTCCCAAATTCATCATCAAAAACTGCACTGAGCAAAATGAGCACTCCCATTGAAAAAAAAAATAAAAACAAAAAAGAAAAAAATTAGCCAGTTTTTGATGATGAATTTGGGTAATTTTATGATTAAATTATCTTGTAGTACAGTTGACCCCTGCACAATGAATTTATGCACAATAGACTGCTTCTGGAGACAGTTTTCCCTCCTGCGCAATGGACTAAATCCACATAAAAAACTACTGTTCTTTCAGAAATGATGGTAAACAGTGAAAAAAAATTTAATTTTTTAATAACTGGATTTGCATAACAAACTTTTCACACAAACTCTGTTGCACAAATTTGGTCCATCATGGAGGGGTTGACTAAATTTTATGTGAATTTAGATGCTTACATATCTCTCCAAGAAATTTGAAATTTTGAAAAACGAAACATTCGAAATTTTCTAAATATACGCGTTGGAAAAGTATCTGTGTTTTGAGTCACTGTTCGGATGTTGGGAGCAGATTCTTCCAATTCAAAGTGTCCCAACGTCGAATCATTTAATTTTTTCGGAGTGCGTCTGCAATCTGGGCTTCACTGTGTAAATGAATTCTGTATAACCCTGAAAGTACTGTATCCTTTGTTGTTGTGCATGCTTTATTACTCAGGAACTGGGACCTTCGGAAATGAGTCGTGACTTCAAGCCAAGTGATACAAAGTTCCCGGCACAGGAACCTGGAACAGCTGGCGATTCCCCCTTGCTGTTGAGCAAATACTCGTCTGTGATGCTCAACAGCTCTCCGTCCGCCCACGAACTCATGCGGATCCCGGATGGGTTCGGAGAAGAAGCCTTTTGTTGGGACACTAGCGAGCTGAAGCGAGACGCGAGGAACAACAACAGCTGCACTTGCTGCAGGGATCCTTGGGAGATCCAAGGAGTGGCCATCACGTCGCCACACGAGGATCCAATCAGGTGGAGGCAGGTCATTTACACCCAGGCTCGAGATCGTCGGTGTCGGGTGCACGGGGCGAAGCCAGTTACGCCTGGTGAGATGTGACATGTAGTTTACGAACGAAAGTTGAATCGTCTCTCGAACGCGGGGATGATAATATAGAGATCGCTCCGTCACGAGAACTTTAAAACAGTTTTTCCAAACAGTTCATCGCCCATTGAAAATGATCAATGTGTTGTTTCATTCCTAAATTTGTTTACTAATTTTTGAGTTTCATTTTAAACACGCGGGGCTTGAAAAAAAAATTGACATCTGAACAGTGCGGACAAACGATGCTCCGAAAGTTGTTTCTGTGATAGGTAGAGGTCGCTTCGAAAAACTCTTAAAGCTCATTTCCGCGCAACAACAGCAGCGTATGGCGGAATGACATCTAAGTCTTTAGGGGGATAACTCGGACGTAGCAAATCGTTTTGTGACTTTCATTTTAAAGTTTTTGGGTCAGATTTCTTAACGTTCTAAATGTCTCCTATAGTACCTAGTCCAATTGTGCCTATCCTGTCAGGGTGCTGTCCATATTCCTGGGTCTCTTTACTCTGAATGCTTCCCCATACTCTGCGAAATCCTGACTTGAGAAAATTAAGGTTTGAGTACAAAAGCAGCTGCTGGAAGAAATTATGTTTGTTCTTTGATGCTCACCTAGTTTGTAATTTACTAGCCAAATGAAGCGTGGCATGTACAGTGAGACCCCCAGGTGATGTAATGGTGCATCAAGATTCAAGAGTGTCCATAAGTCAAGTCTTGTTTTCTCATAGACTTACATTATATAATTTTTAATGGGTGTTTTATGGAAGAAATACTCTTCAGAATTCTATGAAAAAAATTTGGTTTGCCCTCTGAATTTGATTCAGTGAATATATTTTCAACCCAAGAAGAAAATTTGGAGTATTGAACAATATACTGCTGTACAGTTCATTGAAATGTTGGCATCTGTAAAAATAAAATCCAAGTCACAAGGAGAGAAGGAAGTCCCTCTGTGCAGGTAATTCTTTAAAATTAGCAGAATTGATGGGAAAGTGATGGGAAAAGTACCAAAGAATTTTTCTTGCATGGATCTCAGTAGGGTTGAAAATATACTTTTCTTGCAATTAAGCCCAATAAAAGTCAATTTCCCTAAAATTTATAGGGAATTGTATTGAGCAATGTCCCCATGTTGGATCAGTGTAAGTATGTTGGGGTTTTTTTATGATTTTTTATTGAAAAATAAATTTCCCTATGTTGTATTCTCCCCACGTCATGGTGTCTGCATGTGGGGGTCTCACTGTATACTCATAACCATCAGTATATTGCTGATTATCATTTTTTTTGTCAGATAAAGAGCTGGTGAATGATGACACCTGTGTTTTGCACGATGATCCCGTCCCATTGGCGAGCAGCGGATACACATTCCTGAGCTCTGTTCAGCGCGCAAATTCGGCAGAATCCTTGACGTCTGACCGCGAAAAAGGAGTCTCAAAAACCGCCATTCGTCAAAAAGAAACCGGTTCATTCAGTGCTGATGAGGATCATCAAGGTTCACTTTGTTGACACACAGTATTTCTTTTTCCTTGTCTAACTGTATTTTTGTCACAATTTTCTTGTGGTTCTGTTTTGTCATTGTTCTCTCGGTTTGAGATTTTTCTGCCTACATCAGCTGAATATATTCAGACATTAAATTCGGAGTTGTGCTTTTCTGCCAAATTGATTCCATGTTTATTTTCAGAATGTTGCAAAAACTTTTCTTTGATAAAATCCCTTGTACATCTTTGCAGAATGAACTGATAATTAAAACAACACATGAAGTATGTGTATGTATGGCATATTGTGAAGAAAAACTGCCGGGATTGAATGAAAATTCAGTAAAACAAGATTAATTGTAACTGGGTGTTCTTGTATATGCCTCATCACATGCAAGACCAAACAGAAATACATTCTCTTCTACCCTTGGGCAGCGTTGCTGGGATTTATTTGCACAATTTTGTGCAACAGGCAGAATAAAAAAAAAGAAATGAAGTACCTAGCATAACCTTCAAAGCCAAATTTGGGAAAATTCCTGGATTGTTTTTTGCAATCTGGCAGAAAAATGTTTGTAAAAAAAATTAGTTACTGTTGGGTTGCTTTTTTCTGCATTCATTCCATACGATTACCATTGAGGGATGAAGAGAAAATTGGTTTTCCCTGTCCCAAAATTGTCCTGACTTTGGCTACCCAGCTAAATCTGCATTTGGGTGACCTTTGGTCAAACCAAGATGCAGAAGTGTGAAAAAATTTACTGGCACTACTGCACAATGGAAAAGGACCTGCTGACATCCAATGGCTTGATAGGACAAGATTAGAGTGGATGAATCCAAATCATTATGGAAAATATTTCCACAAACATTTCCATTTGATATCCTGCTGAAGGCACTAGGTAAAGTGAATCACAGTACTTTAGAATCTTGTTACAATGGAATCCCAGGGACCAGGAGAGAATTTGTAACAAATAAGTTTTTTGTATTGAGATTTATGAATGTATTCATAGAAATGACCCTTGAACATCTGAACAAGAATTTCACTGCTTGAAATAATCATAGATTTTACTCTGCACACTTTTCTTCACCACACACTTGTTCCACTTGCTTTATTAGAAACTTGAAAACATGATTGTTTGCCTCCTCTCTGAATATATTAATTAACTATCAATGACTTCAAAAATTTAAAATGAAACTCAACACTGAAGAGCATTATAAAAAATGTTCACAGATTTTTGTGGCTCTTGGAATTCCCAGCTCCAAGTTGACTGTGATTCCAGACTCTGGAGACATTGAATGAACTAATTAGGGTACATTTATTTAATTTCCCCGGGAAGAGAATGTAACCAATATTTAGCTTCCTGGTTTTAAAGTGTAACTCCTCTGAGGCATGTACAATCCTGTCCATTTTCTAGGGATGATGATGAGCCACAAGAAATGGGGGGGGGGATGGGACAAAAATAATGTGAAAATTGAGAAACAATTTTCAAAAATCTCAGGGAAAAATGAGGACTGTAGGGGAAACACTTTGTTATAACTGGAGAGACTCTAAAAATTTATTTATTAAAACAAGATCTATTCAAACTGCTCCATCTTGAGGATAACTGCCAGGACTTGAAAAAAAAGTTGAATTATTCTGAGGCAGAAATATTTCCTGTCCATCACCACCATATATACACTCAAAATGAGTTTCATGTTATTATTGAAAAATTGAACTACAAAATTCAAGACTGAAAGGAAAAAAATATTCGGAAAAATTTGACATTCAGGAAAGATTTTCATTCTAACCAAGCAGAGAGCTTTTAAAAAATTGATTTGTTAAAATGAGATTAATTTAAGCTACACCTCATCAACGGTAACTGCAGATTTGGACTTGGGAAAAATCCATTGTGTAGAGGAAAATTTGTAGTAAGATTTGTTATAACAAGATTCCACTATATAAAAGAATGGAGCCTTCTTTTCCGTGTCCATCTCAATGCTTTGTTTTATTGCTCAGTATACTGTAACATATTTCTTTATCTAATAGTCCAACACTCCTCAGTTTTGTTTTCTGTACCTATGGGAAGTGGTTCTGCTTCTCTTTTACTTCGTTTGCACTTGAATGACTTGGTATTATACATGAGGACATACACGACATGCAGGAAATAAATTTAAGAAAAAAAGAGAGGCAAAATCCTATCACGGAAATGGCGTCAGGTTCTTGATGAAATGGCGAGCCGCGAGTCTCGCGATGAAATTCGCCTCGTCTCGCACCGAGTGTCTCCCTGGGTTCTTCCTGTTGAGGATCGTGGAACTCTCCTTGACTTCGTAGTAATGTGCGGACACACTGCGATCCCTGCTGTACCCGAACCCGGCAATGGTCACGGAATTGCAGGACTTTAATGCCAACACGATGGCGACGAGGCCCGAGGTTGGGTTGCCCTTCAAACCCGCCACGAGTCGCACATTCCGCATCATCAATGGGTTCAGCACGAAGGTTCTGCGGACTTTGGACGAGTAGGTGCTTGGGTTGGGTACCTGTGCATATGTACATATACATAGGCAGTGCAAGTGCGTTAAAAAGAAATCTAGTTACAAAGCATTTTTCATTAAACAACAAATTTTCTCTTATTATTGGTCCCAGCAGCAGTTCTGCACAGGTGCCATGTTATGAAAAACTCATTGTGACAGACTCATTTTCGGCTGTAATCTCATATTATGTGAAACAGATATTTGGCCCTAATTCTGCACATCATGGGATACAGGAATTATTTGAAGAAAAAAATCACAGAAAAGTGAGTAGAAGTGAAAAAGACTAAGCATTTCAACTTCATAAAAATAAAACGTTCTGTAGAAAACTCATGGTGTTCAAAAGATAAAAGAACATGACTGCATATTTCTTGGAAATTCTTCAAATAAATAGCATATGCTAGGAAAGTGTCCCTTCATTTGTAAAAGCAGGCAGGCATGAAAGATTAAATTGATTCAAAAGAGAGTATACAGTAGCATTTCTACTGGATGCAGTTCATTTTTTGAATTTTATTTTTCAAGACAAGCAACAATTAAGTTAAAGGGTGGGTTGAATGGAAGGAAAGTAATATATATAGTTCAAGCATGTTCTCTTCATTTCACCAGAAGTACCTACTAATTATGACAGATGTATTATCTGTTTTGTAACAAGTTTGTTGTAACAATAATTTGGCTTGAATGATAAATATGTAGAATTCAGTTACAGGTGAACCTTGATAAGTTGAACCTCTCGAGTCAAAATCTTTCCCAAGTTAATTTTTTCAATCCATGTCGGAATGCCCAAAAGAAAAACAAAGCATTAAAAACCTCACTTAATGAAGTTTTTTCTTTCAAACCTCAATAAGTTGAATATTCTGAGGCTTGACTGTTATTTTTGTGACAACCGGAAATGATAAAAGCAGTAAAAACATAATTTGATGCGTTTTGATATGAAGCAAAAGACTAAACAGGCAAATGAACCCCTGCTTTCAAGTTCAGCATCATGTCAACTTATTTAGGAATCCGTTAAAAAGGCCACAAATTTCATTTACAATTTTGTGCTATTTTTATGTTCATCATAATAAATATTCTTGGTTGAGTAACTCAAACCGCAAGAACTCAAGCCTGCCAAAGTCAAAACCCCCGTGAGTCAATTTTTTTTGCTGGTCCCTTGAAAATTGACTTGAAGAGATGTTTGGCTGCTGTTTAGAAATTTTAAACCGTCAGTGTTTCTTGGTGAATTATGAGGTATCATTTGCATGGTACTCTTTCCACTTATACCTGGAACTTGATAGATACCAATGATTGATGTTTTTCCAAAGAAAGTATCAAAGTGGCTGAAAATATGCGAGAAATATGATTTGCATACTTTTGAGCTGGTTTAAAGAAAATTCAAGGAATGTTTGATGTGTGGTGCCTGGACCCCCACAAATGTGACATCAGAATTACCAGCTCATTCAAATTATGTTCAAGTCCTTCTTCAAGTCCTTCTGCAAGAGATAACAATAAAGTACAAGGCATTCAAACATGAAGACATCATGGCTGGCAATGCTGCAGACCCTGGCGCTACATGTCCTGCTGCTTCCAGCTTTTCATGCCAATAAGGCACCAACATCATGCCCAAAATTGTCAAAATTCTCCTCCAGTGGTGCTATGTTGAAGAATTGGTGATGGGCAATACAGTGAGACCCCGATATGTGGACATAATTGGTGCATCAAGAGTGTCCTGATGTGGAAATGTCCCTAAGTCAAGTATCCTTTTCCTTTAGACTTCAATGCAAATGCATTCAATTGCTTCTTTTTGTCAAAAATTAGAAAGAAGTCCTCAAAAATAAAAATAAAATTGTTTTCCTTGTCAACTTCAAGTTGTGGAGCAACAGTACAGAACCAAACCACATGAAATATGATCTTTTGGCATCAAAGGGAGATCAAGAAGCATAGAAACATAATAAGCCTTGCCAGAATATGCACAGATGATAGAACAACTCTGAAAAAAGAATCACAAAATCAGTTTACTTTTGATGATGAACTAGAGTGAATTCATCATGAAATATATTTCCAATTTTGGTGGATCAAAACAAGTTTGATTTGTTCAGAAAATGTCAAAATTGAAAAATTAAATGTTTTGATTTGATGGAAAATTTGAGAAAGTGTCCCTAACCTGAACCGTTGTCCAGATGTTGCGCCAGATTTCTTGGTTTTCAAATGTCCCTAAAAAAGTTGAATTGTCCGTATGTTATGGGGTATTTGCTTATCATCAGGGTCTCACGGTATTTGCAAAGAGTTAGCACAGGTATACAGGTATAGCTCCAATAAACACAAACAAGTGTTGCAGAGCATCAATCAAACTGAGCAAAAACCAAATGCCACATGCATCCCAAAATTCTTTCACTTTCTGCACCTCCTGTGGGGAATCAGCTGTGCACCATTTGTACTTGATGCATTAGTGCATTTTGGCTAGCTCATGACTTTAATGCAGAAGAAGCTGAACTGGATATCATATATCACCTATCCTGATGACATTTTCATTTCTACAGAAATGACCCTGAATGCTTCATCCAGAAGATGGAACATTTATCAGCAGCAATTCATCTTGGCAGCTCTGAGCATGTCAAAATTTAAACAGATGCTGAATCAGGAAGGACTAGTTTGTCTGTGTTCACATAACTCATGAGTACCAAGCTTTTAAAATTTGTAAATCGCGGAAACAGACAGGAGGCTTATTTCTACTTGCCATATTTTAACCTTTGGATAGTGGTGGGGGATTTAAATGCTGATTCAAAGTCTGCACGTTTCCGAAGGCGGGGAAAAATTCTGGCTCAACCAAAGGTCATCTGGATGAACCTGGGTTGCAAGGCCGGAGTTGAGAAAATTCACAATGAACCATTTTCTCCCATTTTGTTTTTGGTGGCAGAATTACCATAAATGATGCAAGAAAATGCCTAAATAGTCCCCAATGGATGGCAGTCTGAAAATATTTGTAGACCGGAATTTCCCTCAAGTTCCCTTATGATCGGTCGGAGATTGTCAGACTGGTCGACGTACGTCATTTTTAGTAATGTTGTTTGAACACCCCTGGAGTCTTTTTCAAACGACAAAGAAATAATTTGTTTTAACCAGATTTTAGACACTATTTATTACCGGAAAACCTAAAAAAATTAAATGTGCATATATTTGAGATCTTCCTTTTGTGGCATTTTCAGATGCTTCCCTGTATCTCAAAAACTGATCTTCAACAAGAAATTCAAATGGCTATAGCATTTTTTACTCTGAATAACAGGTGAACTTCATCACTTTTTTGCCAACATCAAGTTTTATACAAAATTTCTGCCTAGATTCACAAGGGATGTTCAAAAAAAGCTTAGTTTTTAAACATTGGATGAGGGGGTTCAAAAGCAAGAAGAGCCCACTTTTACCTTCAAGTTTTTGGGTTCACTTCTTTCCTCAAAACTCTCTCCCCCCCCCCCCATTATTCCTAAATCCTAACCCATGAAAAACTTTTGAAAGAGATGTTATTCATGTGAATTTTGGAAAATTTCTGTTCTTGATATCACCTACAACAACTCATGTTCCAAGAACTAAAGTCACAGTTACAACTAGAGTGGGAAATTTGAGACTGAGCCAGCCTTCATTGTGGATTTGTTATTGGAAGAATCACATAGCCCTCAAAAAAGTTTGTTATACTGGAATCAGAGATTTTGTTGTAATGATAATTTTTAACATGTAACCTACAGGAAATCCGTTGGCGTGTCTGGTCACCTGCTGGTTGATCAATTCACGGTAGCCCACCCGCCGGTTGTCAAGTGCAGGTTGGTCCAACCACCAGCCAGGGCAGTTCTTGGCATCACCAATCTCCAGCCCAGCAAACTGTGGTTTGGTCACCCAATTGTCGGGGCACCCAAAGAATTGGGTGATAAGAATCATGCTGATTTATTTTTCAGAATTCAGAGAGCAGAATGGTATCCCACCACAATTTTTTTTTAAACATTTCAGCAATGTTACGTTAGGTTAGGTCAGTTTATGTTATGTTAGTTTAGGTTAGGTTACGTTAGGTTAGAATATGTTAGATTAAGTTAGGTTGGGTTTCATCAGTTTTTTCTTTTTGTGAAAATTTTTATAAGATAGAATTTTGTAAAAAAAATAATCTGTGGTAGGATACCATTCTGCTCACCAAATTCCAGAAAGAATCAGCATGATTCTTGTCACCCAATTATTTGGGTGCCCCAACAATCACCACTGGCCTGACGTCAAACCACCTGACCCCTAACCTCTCCGGTTCCTGACGGGACCGACCGTCAACCTGGTTGGCCACGAACTGTTGGTCACCCACGCGCTGGTACTAAACTGGTTGACCACCTACACCCAGTACCATCTGTTGGGACCTATAAAAAGGTTGTTATACTGAAAATTTTTTTTATTGGTATTTGTTGTAACAGGATTTTACAGCATTATATTCTTTGAGTAAGGTTGTAATATTCTTTGACTGTCTGGGACAAAGAAAAGATGTGGCCTAATAATCCTCTCCACAATCCAGTCTTGAACACTCAAACAATAATGTCTCACTTTCAAAAATCAGCAGGAAATCCAATTTCTTTCCCATTTCCCCCTGGTATTTTCCCAATTTTTCTTTCCCTCTTACTCCACAGCTTCAACTTTTGGAAATACAGTACTTTAATTGGTGTTCTCTACAAGATTCCATGCTCTATTGAAGGCTGGGGGAAATTTTGAAAATTGCAAATGAACCCAGGGGCATTTCTTGGAGTACAGTATATACTGGAATCAAGGTAACCTGAGTGCTGGAAACGTATCAGATGGGGGTTCATTTGCCCAATGTAGGTAGAAAAAAAATTACATAAGTGATGACAAACTGGCAGAAAAGCTGCAAATTACCTTAGCCCAGAACTTGAGCCCGTGGAAGAGCGAATCCCGGATCACAGAGTTGACTCGCTGGTCACTGGCAAGAAGTAGCCACAAAAGATCCTCGTCTTTGTAAGCCTGAAAGAGTATTTCGGATTCCCGGCTCTGATTGTTGGCGACTAGAGAAGCACTTTCCGGATATATGATCCTCATGCATGTCTTTGACCCAACGTCGGACTCGAAATTCCGGGTTTTGGCAGTGTTGAGTCGGAACACGACGTCGTGGGAGTCGATTACGACGCCCAGGTTTTTGCCCAGCAAATTGGCACTGTTCCCGACCACGATGCAGGACTTGTTTTGACTCGAGTCGAGGCATTGAGAGGACTTTTCCTTTGGAAGCCATTTGGCGAGTTCTCGCACAATGTCCTGTGTGCTGATGCTGGTGGTGCACCACTTTAAGAACGACCCCCAGGACCTGAACTACGGTACACCGTCCTTAAGTAGACACAACACCTTTAATTGTGACCTAATTAATATGACAGTTTGTGTTAAAAGTACAAAGTCATCAAACAGTCTAAAGCACAATTAAATCCCCATCATCTGCATACAGCAGGTGGTACAGTATCTTGCACTTTGACCCCAATCCATTGCCAGACCAGGGTGAAATTTCAAAATCAGTCAAATTGCAAGAAACTCCATGAAATTCAACATATAATTTGAAAAAAGCCACAACAAAAATTGGCCAAAGCAGGTCAACTTGTGGGGCAAACAATTTAAAGGCCAGTAATTACCATTTCCAATTTTGGGCAATTTTTATGATTTCCACAAAAAAATTTGGTTCTGTAACTGAAATTTCTTTAACTCAAAACCCGCTTAAGATGAAACCTCCATAAGTCAAATTTGTTTTGGTCCCTTGAAATTCAACATACTGTAGTATAGAGAGGTTTGATTGCAAATGAATTGTTCTGCATGAAATATTCTTCAGCATGTTAAATCTCTTGAAAGTAGTAATGAAGTCCATTATGTAATTNTCTTCAACTCAAAAACCCCTCAAGATGAAACCTCCATAAGTCAAATTTTTTTTGGTCCCTTGAAATTCAACATACTGTAGTATAGAGAGGTTTGATTGCAAATGAATTGTTCTGCATGAAATATTCTTCAGCATGTTAAATCTCTTGAAAGTAGTAATGAAGTCCATTATGTAATTATGTTTATGTGAAATTTTGGAAAGACAATGGCAGAGGAAATTATCTGAGGATGAATAAAAGTTGGCTTTTCTCCTGGTAGCACTTCACACAAGTTTTCAAGAGCTGAAATAAACTACAGTATTTGAACTTTTCATCCTGAGAAACCTTTCTTCAACTACACCTCTCTAATACTGTATTTTGAAGACATTCTATTCTGCATCATTGGCTCTAAATGTATTTGTTGCTAAAAAATAGCAGAACTTTTGAGTACCTGATGATATTGGGCTTGGATGTGAGAATGTTGATTGAACCTTGTGAATGCTGATAAGTAGAAAATAAAGTTTTCTGTCCATTCATGCATTCATTCATTGAGTACCTGCCCTAAAGGCTTTCTAATAAACCTTGCGTGAGTCAGAAAAAATTTAATGACACTTTGCCAGTCCAAGCATTTTTTTGGAAATATGCTCCTCCAAAAACATTGTTTTTGGAAACATGTCAGTCTGCATGGACTAAAAAGGTTGGGTCACACTGGTTCAGACTTTCTCGAATTGAGTAAGAACGTTTTCAAATTGGGAAATTCAAGTTTTACATGCGTCAGATTTCTGATTCATGTTCTAAATTTGTAAATGGCTATTGAATTGGCAGAGGAAATTATCTGAGGATGAATAAAAGTTGGCTTTTCTCCTGGTAGCACTTCACACAAGTTTTCAAGAGCTGAAATAAACTACAGTATTTGAACTTTTCATCCTGAGAAACCTTTCTTCAAGTACACCTCTCTAATACTGTATTTTGAAGACATTCTATTCTGCATCATTGGCTCTAAATGTATTTGTTGCTAAAAAAAAAAGCAGAACTTTTGAGTACCTGATGATATTGGGCTCGGATGTGAGAATGTTGATTGAACCTTGTGAATGCTGAAAAGTAGAAAATAAAGCTTTCTGTCCATTCATGCATTCATTCATTGAGTACCTGCCCTAAAGGCTTTCTAATAAACCTTGCGTGAGTCAGCAAAAATTTAATGACACTTTGCCAGTCCAAACATTTTTTTGGAAATATGCTGCTCCAAAAACATTGTTTTTGGAAACATGTCAGTCTGCATGGACCAAAAAGGTTGGGTCACACTGGTTCAGACTTTCTCGAATTGAGTAAGAACGTTTTCAAATTGGGAAATTCAAGTTTTACATGCGTCAGATTTCTGATTCATGTTCTAAATTTGTAAATGGCTATTGAAGCAAACATAAAATCAGCATCCTCTGTAAGTTTTTATTCCAAGAACGTGCCCTTTATGTATTATCAGAAAATGTGCTTCAAAAAAGATAAAATCACATTCCATTCAATACATTTGAGTCGTTGAATTCCAGTAAACTTAAAAAAGTAATGAAAGGCAGTATTACTGCAGTAGACTATTTTCACACGATTTCGCATTGAATATGCAGATGCGTGACGAGATGAAATTATTCTGAGAATACAGAACTTCCAGATGTTCAGAAAGAAATTCTTTGTCTCATCAACTGGTTGCAAAACATGTGAACCAATATTGCAAACTGTACATAATCACGTATCTAACTCCTGAAAATTTCCCTGGAAGTTCTGTCCATTTTACAAAACCTCCCCCTCAATTTCTAGAGTTAAGAAAATGCCTTAATTATCACAGAAATTCCCACAAACATATGCATAGGACCAACACACAGTATTGCAGTGCTGTTTTATTCAATAACTATTGCTACATAAAGTTTCATTTTACATTCAAAATAATGAGCAGCGAGGTGCATGCTAGTTTGTAGTTCCAAAATCTTTCTGAGGACTTCTTTGGAGTGAACTATGTAAGGCCACTAGATGCCACTGCATGAACAAAGCAGCAAAAGACATTGCTACAGCCTGATCCAGGCACATGATTTAGTGGCTGGTCCAGTTTTGATTTGTTTGAGCCAAACTGGCAGTCAAGCAGGAGGGAGAGGAGAATTTTCTTGAAACTTGCTCTTCAACAGTAGACAAAATGGCATTCCAGTGTCATATCTTATTGAAGGAGGAAGATCTCTGAGAAAGCTGTTGCAAATTTGTGTGTTCTTTTTGTGAATTGTCTTGGTGGGAATTATTTTGTTTTTCATTAAGCCTTGCCCTGCTGTGCTTGTGTTTGGTTTTGTTTTAATTTCAAGTTATTATTCTAACTCCTGAAAGAGTATTTTCAAAGAGGATCCAGCTGCATAATGGCTGATTCTGTGTTCAATTTATTTTGTCAAATCCTGACTCAAACAAAAAGTCCAGATTTTCCAATTTAATAAGGATTAAACCAATGGAGATATAAGCAGGCAAAGGATGCAAGAAAAGCGGAGGGACGCCCAGTGGGAAATTAAAAAATCTATGAGTATTATGACCAGAAAATTCTACAGATATGCTATAGAATGAAAAGATTCATTTTTCTGCAGAGCTTACCTCTGAATTGGTCAATGTTTCAATGTTTTCTTTCAAAGAAAATGCCAAACATTACCCAGTGTTTTGGCTTTTCAAGATGGAAGAAAAAGATGCTTAAATTGAGTAGCTCACATTCTTTAAAGGGACATGCAGTATAACTGCCTTTTCACACAAAATTGTGTCTGCTTCATCAAACCACCAGCAGTTATATGAAATTGTTCAAGGATGGAAACATCATCCAAGCCATGTGAACTCTGACAAGCAGCAAATGAAGTTTGTCTATGAATTGATTATAAAGCCAGTTTTAAATTTATATATTACAGGGAGTGAGAAAAATGTAAACGGGGACAATAAACCCATCATATGAAGAACACATGACTTTCAACTTGCTGTAAAACTAAAATAACATACTGTACTGTATTTTCAGCATATTCGAACATTTTCACCAAAAATTCAAATTTGTTCCAAATAGATTCCCTCTTTTCCTAATGGAACCTGATGCTTGTCTATATGCATCTTGAAGATGGCAAGCGAGTTCTCAAGAAACTTAAATTTGTGTCCAAAAGTTTGCAGTTCCACTCAGTAATATTGACAATAGTTCATGAATTGATGTCCATATATTGTCCAAATTGCTTGATGCATCCAGAATTTCTTCAAATTTTGTTGGCATCTTAAATGGATGAAATAGGGTCCAAACAAATCCACAGATTTCCTGTAGTTCAGGCATGTTTTAAATGCTGCCCATCACCAAGCTGAAATATTTTGATGACTTGTCCAAACATCAACTATATTTTTACCATTGAAGCTCTCACATGTTTTTGGGTCCACTTGCAAGATGAACACACTGAATCAGATCTGCAAAAGTGCACAAAAGAAAGTCTCACACTAATCCTCTGAGAGGATGGGTAAACTGTGTGTGGATGATAATCAATGTACAGTCAACCCCCGCACAACAGACCACCTGCAGGATGGATTTTTGTACAATGGACTAAATCTGGAGGATGTTTTTACTCCTGAAAAATGTACTGAATCTGCCTAACAGACTTCTATTGGTTCAAAATCAATGTTAAAAAGTAAAAAAATAAAAAATGATAATTTTAAATAATCAAATTTGCATGAGAGACTTTTTACAGAAAAGACTTGTCTGTTGCACAAATGAAATCTGTTGTGCTGGGGTAGACTGTATTGCTCATATCCCACCCACATCCATAAATGGTACATGTTACAATTGAGGGGGTCAATTGTATTCTCTCATATTTTCCAGGATCCCTGATTCCCCACAAACTGCAAGCATGATATGCACCTAGTGCTTCCAGAGGAGTCCTTCATATCACCAATGCCAGGTTGAACTTTTTAGAATTTGGAAAAAATTTTGCAACTCTTGCCTTTTGCTATACTCTCTTTCTGCTGAAGGGAGGAGAATTTAACTTTATAAATTCCCTGCTTGAAACTTTACACAGTGAACCAATTTGTGAAAACTACCTGACATCTCTCCAGACACATTAATGATTGATGTCATGCTTCAAATTTATTCTCAAAAGCTAACATCATTTTGTCATCCTGAAATAATTATTGAATACTTGAAAGTGGATTTACCTGAAATGGGTCCTCCTAAGTTTCTCCACAACCATTGAGTGACTTCAAGATTGTAATCAAGCAAAGGCAATGC